GTAATTCAAGTCGCTTTTATTCTCTTCGCTCCTCTTTTATAGCACCGTCTCTTTGTTCTGTTTTGATGTGTATAAACCTGCCAAACCGCGAACTCCCGTTCAAGTACAATCCAGTCGGAACAGTGGCGCTGCGCTGCCTGCGAGCCTCTCCTCTCATTCGCTGCCTCTCTCTCCTCCTCCTCCCTCTCTCTCTCTCTCTCTTCCTCTCTCTCTTTTCTGACAGCCCCCCCTCCTCCTCTACCCCCCCTCCCCATCCCAGCCCTCAGGACGCCGTGTTTACCCCGTGCGTGCCCATTGATTGGTTACCCGGGGCGTGATTGGCAGCTCTCCGAGGCGCGCGGAGAACCTCCTTCCGGCTGTTCCGATTGGCTGCTTTTTAATTGCAGGTCCAAACAAAAAAACGCTGAGCTCAACTTGGTAGTAAATAGTACCAGGGATGAGGAAGAGGAGCAAGTGTGTTTGATTTGATATGAAAAAAGGCAATACCTACCTCTGTCTATTGCTTTTTTTTTTTTAAAAAACTTAGACTTCTTTTATTGTCATTGCACAAAAAACACAAGATGAATCTTGACAACGAAATGTCAATTACTTGGCTAAGACCTTATTCCTGCACAATAAATATGATTTCTATAGCTAAGAGCTAAGAGCTAGCTATATACAGGGTAAATAAGTATATATATATACATATATATCGCACTGAGTTATTGCAAAAATAAAGATTAAAGACAAAACTAAACTAAGGTGCGTGTATTGTCCATGTCCATGTCCAACAAATGACTTAATTAAAGCCTTTTAATTCGGACTATATGTAAAATGATCAAACATATGTGCAAAAATATACAGTTTAGACTCAATTCTGGCGCATCAGGGGTTAAAGGTCAAAGGCGACTGAGGCCAACATGCAGCAGTGTTGGAGAAGGAAAGTGGCAACCAAAATAGGGGCTCTTGTCTTTCTTCCTTAGTGTTTCTTGTTTTGCACAAAACGAGGACATTTACTTGACTGGTAAACGTCTGAATTTACACCTGTTGAAAATGTCTGTAAAAAAAAATAGTTAAGAATACCTATAGTGCAATAGGGTTGCTCTATAATGTTCTTTGCAGAAACAGATAAAATTGTATAAAAAAAAAAAAAAAATAGGGCTCTCACCCCAGAGATGCAGCTAAAGTTGACCACACACCAACTCAGCCCCCAAGAAAATGATAAATAAGAGTTACATTTTTATTTAAACTAGTTGAAACAAACAGTTAACCCTTTAAATCAGGGTCTGGACACTTTTATGATTTAAGCAGGATGTTCAGCTGTTTGATGGAGGAGTGCATCACCGCATCTTAAAGCTGCCAGACCAGGGCAATAGATCCCTGCCTTTTTTAGTTTCACTTTTCAAAGTTGTTTTTAAAGACAATCCAGGGTTGATTTGTGAAAATAACAGTATTTTCTGAGTCTGTCATCAGGATCACATTCATGACTCATTTCCACTTTGAGTTCCCCTTATAAATGAGTTCATAAATATGTTATTAACTCATCTGTAAACAGTTTAAAACTCATTTATTTCTATAATTCATCAATTAAGGGATGGGATAGAGACCAAACTGACCTCACTCACCTTATATCCAATGTTTCAGTGAAAAACAGTGCTTTTCTATGATGCAAAACATGTTCATACATAAAAACATTTATAGATTAGTTATTACATGTTTACAGATACCCCCACCCACCCACCAATTTGTAAAGATATGCTAGAGTTTATTTTGCTTAAATTTAACCTAAAAGCAAAGAAAAGGTGATTGAGGCAGAGATGTATTTTCTTAATCTGATTCTCTCTTAATTTCTCCTCAAAATGTCTTTTTTCCCCTTTTTAAAAAAAACTGATTTGAACTTTATGGTTAAGATGCATGATAACTTTCTCCATGGGTTGTTCTAGACAGGGGCCAACAGGGGCCAGTAGCCCTGTAGGACTGGTATAAGTCGTTTGGACCTATTTCCTTTATTTATTTTTATCTTTTTTTTTTATCTTAAGAGACTTACACAGATTTATTTTGTCATGATGATGATTAATGATCCAAACATGAAGTTGTTGCATGTTTAGCTTCATACATATTAAGATCGGATGACACTTTTCATCTGCCATATCCAAAGTTTTCAGAGCTATAAATCCCTTTTTGATTCACTTAATTTCCCTCCATTCTTATGTTCCATGCTCCAATTATTAAAAACCATGTCTGCTACCGGCTCAGTCTGTTTAGAAGGTACTAGAACCCACATGTTTTAATGGTGATGAAGTCATGAGGCCCATCTTTTCATACGCATTGAAGACTTCTTTCTTAATCAACCAGACTTATTAGAAACTTCTCTCTTCATTTTCAACCAAACTGTTTTAGACTTTTAGAAAGAGACCATTTCTTTTTATTAAACACTTTTTTTTTTAACCATCCAACTCAAATGTGCTTTGGTGGAATTGAAGTCGCTGAAGCAACTGGTGACTTTTATCAATCTATTAAGATTTCTGTGTGAACTGAACTGAATTTCAACAATATTACTTTTTTTAGACCTAAAACAGTGTTTTCCTTTCCTTAAACTACTATTTTTAGGTTTCATTTTGTAAATCAAAGGTCATAGCTACAACTCCTTCATCAAAACCTTCATTTTACAGTAACGATACTTTCACAGAATGTCTGAAGTGGTGCAGAACAAACGTTTTAGCAAAAAAAATAATTTTTTTTTTATAGAAATAATTGCTTTATAAATTCAGACACATCCACAATAAGTAAATGTTTACTTTTTGGTTAGGGTGCCAAAATTGATAGGAAGGCTAGGTTGAAGTCACACCAACAATTACCAAAACGAGGGTGGATAAAAGTCAAGATTTGGTGCCAACTTAGGAAGTTACATAGAGGTTGTCAGGTTTTTTTTTTTTTTTTCATGTGAATTGGAAAGTAAAATGTTCTGTTTGGTTAGCGTTAGCATTAGCAGATCTGGCAACCGCCAGGAGAGCTGGCCAGCATTTCAGCAAGTTCACCACTTACTGCCCATGAGGAGTTAAACTTTTTAGCTGTCATCTTGAAGGTCTTCAGTCCACATGGGTCCCCTCCTACATTTATTTAGATATGATGAGTATAAAACCTAAAAATTACCCCAAAAATTTATCTGAAACAAACTTCATGAGGCCCTCAATATTCATACATTTGGCATTCCGTCCACAAAATATGGGATTTGAGGAGTTAAGGCCTTTAGCCATATGGGGCCCTTCAGCTATTCTTCAAAATCCATCGAGTGTGTTTATCTATATTAATGCTAAAATCTTAAACAAAATGGATTGAATGATGTTTAGTTGGAATAAACATTGTTACTTCTATGTGTGTAAAACAAATCAATCTTAAAGCTAAACAGGATCCCCCACTACGTCGTCCAATGTGCAAAAAAGTATCTTTACTATCTCTTTTAAATGAAAATCTGCTCAAGGGATGGAAGACTGGAAGCTTAGAGGCTCCTATTTATACTTACCAAGAATATTTCTGTCAAACGTTGAATAAAATCAACTATTTAACAATTAAATTTTCTGTTATGCTTTGTTATCAGTTTTGGTTAACTAAAGAAGAAGTAGTGAGGTTGAAGCCATAAAGGCTATAATGCTATGGGGCCCCTCTCTCTCCAAACCAATATGTAGTGAGGATGTCTTTAGATTAGGAAAAACTTTAAGATGTATTTTTACTTACCTTTTAAACTTTCTTGGGTCAGCTAGAGGTCCCCTTCCTTAGATTGACTCATGTGCAACATAATTAAGATGTCTTTCTGTGGTTAAAGTCATGTCGCTATGGGGCCCCTTATGTTTTGGTCAATATAGCAGAATGATTTCATAAATCATTACAGAAAATACATATTTTTCTATATTGTTTCATTGTTTGCAGATGACATTGTGATAAAAAAGTCACTCAGGGGAGCTTAAGGCAGTGTTTTCCATCTGCTATAACTGTTTTTAGGTCACATTTTGACATCTTTTCCACTTTTGAGAAACAGTTAAAGGCTTTCAATGACATGAAACAAACCTTTTGATCAATCAAATATAATGTCTCAAAGAGGACTTAAGTAGATATACAGTAATATACAGATCGATGATGTCTTTTAAAATGAGAGACCACTTCTTTTTAACATCTTTTCCCGCTTTTTTGTTTTATAAAAAGGTATGTTTTGTCCCAAGAACATCTTCAAGGCAATAAGAGTCATGCAACTATTAGGCTTCTAATGTATTTATTATAACAGAGACATTTCTGGCTACAATAACCAAAAAAAAAAAAAAAAAAAAAAACCCAGACATAATCTTCTATTTTATTTCATAATTTGCCTTTTACGCATAATTTATTAGCATTTATGCAGATGATGTTGTCATAAGAAGCCACTCTTTTGTCTAAAGTGCTTTCAGGTCACATTTGGACATCTTTTTCCAGTTTTCTTAGTATTGTATCAACAGTTAAAGGGGTTTATAAAAACTAAAACAAATGTTTAAATAAATCAGAGTTAATATACGTACAGTATTATAAAGGGAACCCTTGTTTTAAAATGAGGGAGGACTGCTTTGTAACATCTTTAACTCTTATATTGTTTAATAAAAGGTAATGTCTTTTTCCAGCAACATGTGCTGAAGACGAATGAGGCCCCTCCTCTTTCCATTGATATACAGTGAGGATTTCTGACTAAATGTACAAGAGAAGCCCTGAAATCTCTTCAAAAGAAAAAAAAAATGTTTACCACATCCATAAAAGGCGAGTCAAAAGCCATTCTAGGAAATATTCCCCAGAAACGAGCGCGCACGCTCCTCTCTGATATATGATGTGTCTATTTATTATTTATTTGCTTATTACATATATAAAAAAAAAAAAAAAAGAAGGAAAAAAAAAGGTCCCCAAGTTTCCTGCTGGGGGAGTTCATTTATTCTGTATGCAAAGGGTGGGGGGAGAGGGGAGAGAGCAGAGAGAAGGGGGGGGAAAATCATCCCCAAGTATAACAAGAGACGAACAGTTAGTGCTGATTTTCATTTGCATAAATTTTCATATATTTTAGTGAAAATAATAGCGGGAGCCGAGGAGCGCTCCTGCTCAGTCGAGGCAGAGGAAAGAAAATCTCAGGGAGCAGCGTGTCGCGGGGAAGGGAGATAACCATTTACACGCTCCGTGGGAACAAACTGAAGCAATTTCCTTCCTTCTTGGACACAAGGTAAGTCAACAATTATCTCTGCGGATTTCCCTTTTCTTCCCCTTCAGGTTTCTTTACGCATTTGACCATCTTTTACGCGAAACCTCCAACCTCTTATTCTGCGCCATCCTGGAAGAATATACCCCTCTAACCCTTAATTAGTGGATTTTTTAAAAACCGATTCCATTTCTTTATTAAGATTTCCTTCTGGAAATCAGTGCGTCTTTTTTTTTGCGCGAAAACGTTAGACGATGGAGGCGCTGCGCTGTTTTTGTCGTGAATGTCACCAAAGAAAAGTGCAATCAATCAGATTTTAAGCAAGGAAGAGAGGAGAGAGAGAGAGAGGGAGAGAGAAAGGAGGGAGACCCCATCGTCTGCATCGTTTAACGCAAATCGATCTGGCTGCTGCAAAGTTTGCATAAAAAAGTTTATGCCGCAAAATTTACGCGCATCCATGCGCACAGAAAGGGAATAAGAACAGGAATGCTTCCCGTAAGAGCATCTGAACTTTTAAGGGGGAGTAAAGGAAGGGGGGGTCACTTCATCCACGGAGCTGCATATTTGAGCCTCGCGCCCCCGTCGCCATGGTGAGGCCAATAAAAGAGGGGAACACTGGCCGCATTAAGCTGTATGTTTGTGCACTGGGGTTGAGATGAAAAACGACTTGTGTGTGTGTGTGCGTGTTTCTTTTCACAGAATGAGTGAAAAAAAATAATTTTTATGTGTTTCCAACTCTGGTTAATAAAAATATAATCTTATATATCTCTATACAGGCTCAGAACCATTGATACTCTCTGTACGCGCCTGCAAAAAAAAAAACAAAAAACTTTTTTTTTATCCAAGTTTGTGCTTTATTTTATCTCCCTTGTTTAGGGCCTTTTAGTTATTATTTTTGCCAAATGATTCAGTCATTAAAATCCGCCAGGTGTCGCGCTCACTCGTGATGCAAATGTCATCCATTTCTACTGCAGCTTTTGCGCAAAAATGCCCCCTTTTACTTCTTAATATTTTAATTATTTTCAACACAAAATAGCAATAGCATCTAGATGCAAACGATCAGCTCTTTATTTTCTATTTTCTTTCTACTTTAAAGAACGTTTTTTAATCGAATCACAATTATTTATCCCAGTTGTTGGTCAAAACTGCACGTGTTACATGTAGTCCTCCATGGATTAGTGACATGCATTGAATGTTTGATGAAGATTATGAGCTGCAAATTTAATAGTTGTTTTTTTAATTTTATTATGATATAAAATGTATTTTTTTAGGTGTATTACAGGCCTGTTTTTTGTGTTTTTTTAGACCGGCCTCCACGTGCAGCAGCACACTTTTTTTTTTTTTTTTTAACACACACATATGGCAGAAGAGCGACTTTTGGGAATTCTCCGCAAATGAAAGCTGCATAGATTCATCGCAAGAGTTTGCGCATTTTTGCAAGAACATCAGAAAGCCTCTAACTTAAAAAAAAAAAAAATGCATTTCCCCACCCCCCCTTTTTTTTTTTTTTAAATACTGGTTTGTTGCAGCGAATTAAGAGGAAATCAATTAACGCCCATTAATCTATTGTCTCTCGCTCTCCATAAAAGCTGATTTTCGGCCGTAAATTTCAGACACTTCTGTGGCTTGCCGCCGCATATTCGCATTAAATCGATGCGATTCCCGTCGCTTTTTAATTATGGCACACTTAAAGTAGCCTGTGGGCTTCATAATTTATTTGCAACCCCCCCATACCCCCCTGCCTTGCACGGTGCAGCTCGCTATAACCCGCCATACGTTGAGTGTGTCAGGCCCAAAACGCTGATTTAAAGCCGAACTAGCAGCACTTACATGATAATATATACCGTTAATTAAATGAGCTTCAAGCATGTCCTCACTTTTAGAATCCCCCCCACATTCAGACAGACTTTTCTTTATTATTAATATGCCTCACAGAGTCATACACACTGAGTAATTGCTCTACATGAACAGGTGATGAGATGTTTGGTGTTCATGAGTTCAACTTCCTGCACTGGTTGGGATTAAATTTAGTTTTTTTTTGCAAATCAGAATACAACTTTTGCAGATATTTGCTCATTTCTAGCCACCAACATGCCTCTGGTGTAAATCTGGTTAGATTAGAGTTGTGAAAAATAAAAGAAAGTTGGGGGATTTAGAAGTAAACCGCTGATGCACCAACAGGGCCGTACAATAGATTTTAAAGAGGCAGGGGCTCAACACTTAAGAAGGAACCATACTGAGTGACAAGACAAACAAACTAAAACAAACTAATCTAAAATTATGTTTTTTTTTTTGTTGTTTTTTTTTATTACAAAATATAAACATTGGTGGCTTACAGCCATACCGTCCTGATCTCGGAAGCTAAGCAGGGTTGGGCCTTGTTTGTGTAAAAAAATCGGATGCAAATATTACAAAATTAAGAGAAAACTAAATATTTCATTAATTAAATAAATTATATAATTTTATCTAATTAATTAAATTATGTGATTTCAGATGAGCTGTAGCTTAAAATCCAACAAATACCTTCAAATTACATTTGTAATGTATGAGTTAACTCGATGAAAGTGAATTATTGAAATTGTCAACAAGTGAGGAGTGAGATATGGCGCTTTAATGAGCAGGTAAAAAATATTTAATATTTCAGGAAAGGACTACGTTTGATTGCTGATTTAGTGTGTAGAAATGTAAAAAAAAAAAAAAAAAAAAAAAAGGAAGATTGATACTGATACATTAAATGCAATTCCACTTATTTGTCAAAATAAAATAAAATAAATAAAATATTGCCTTTTCATTACTAAGGAGTCTGAACTACATGATGGTCAAGCTAAAGACTATCACAGATTACCTTGGGGGAGACATTTTTGTTGTATCTGATTAACATCTGCCCACTTGTTGTCTGAGGAACCATAAAAAACAAAAACCTTGCAACTTTATCTTTCAGCAGTCCCAAAGCATGATGCTGCCACTAAATTAGTAAAGTTGTCTTTGGCTGGAATCCACTATATTTTCACACCTTATTTCAAAATTCGCTTCTCCAAATCAGAGATTTGAAAATCATTGGGATGTGATTGCAGAGGTGCAAGGAGGGCCAAATTATGTTATGCAATAAATAAATATACCATAAGTGACATGTAACATTTATTTATTTATCAAAAACAAGAATAATATTTAAACATACTATCCCAACTTAAAAAACATCCCGTTAAATAAAAACACATTTAAAAGGAATTAATTAATGTAATGTCGTTAAAAAAAACAGATGTACTTCAAAAATAATATAACTACTTTTCTTCATATTTATAAATAAATATAATATGAAATAATTCTATGTATTTTAGAGGGTCCCCAGTCTGTTACGTTGATATTTTTGGTATCATATGCTGAAATGTTTGGGAACACCTGACCTGGAACGTCCATACTGCACTAGGCCCACAGCACCATGCTGCCACTAATATTTGCAGGTAGCTTTAAAAGAAATGAAACTCGTTGCATCAAATTCTTGTTTTTAAATCATTATTTAAGCACCTGAAACAACTCAGAGTCCCACAGCATGATGCTGCCTCTATATGCTGGAGATTTGAGATACTCTTTAGAAGGAAAAAAATTATTAAATAACTTTTGTAATTGAAGAAAATCACAACTCAGGCACTTGTAGGTCCCTGTATCTGCACATGATGCTCCCCAGTCCCACAGCATGACGCTACCACCATGCTAGACAATAGAAAGAGACTTCTATTGTCAATACTTATAGCCGATATTAGCAGTTTGCTTTTTCTTTCATTGGTATCACCTGATATGTGGCTGATTTATTAGTACTTTCAGATGCAAAGGAAGTGTATGCATTTCCCACTTCCTCTATTCTTAATATTTTGTTTGATTCATTTCTAGGTGTTTGTTTTTTATTTACATTTACACTTGTGTAAAATTGGCCTTTTTGTGTCATTTTATCAGGTTAATAGAGGAAGAAAAAGCAATATTAGCTCCCAAAATTATCCCATAAATATCAGCAGGGCATATCAGGGATTGGTTAGACTAACATCAAAATAATTGGTATAGACATTGAGCTGGAAAAAAATAATATATATATATATATATATATATATATATATATATATATATATATATATATATATATATATATATATATATATATATATATATATATACATATATATATATATATATATATATATATTGCTTGATCTCTACAAGACAGAACAGAAATGTGAAGCTTGATTTACTGTTTAATGAAACGTTACTGAAAATATGATGCAATAGGAGAGGCATGCAAAGTCAAACAGGAACGGCAGACAAATAAATCCTAAAAAGAAAAGGAGGCCACTTCCACTGGCGTGGAAGTAAGTGACAGGCAACAGATCAGGGAAAGATAAAGTGAAGAGCAGCTTTCTGAGTCACAGGAGAAAGGTGTATATGCTTCTTCCATTGTCGCCTCCTCCAACCTTCCGGGAGTGACATCAGAACTACTCACACTTTGACTGTTTATGCAAATGGTCGAGATTTTCCTTTACTTTTTAAATGTCCTGTTTGCCTGCATCACAAACGCCTAATCGAAACTAATAATCTGTTTTAAGCAGAGTAATTAAGAAATAAAACAAATCCACCTGAAAATCAATTCTGCACTCATATAGTCTCTGCTGATTCGTTCTTGTTTTTGTTTGTTGAACAGTGGCGGTCCCTGAGGACAAAGAGAGAAGATGTGGGGTGGAATCTACCTACTCGGGATTACATTAATAAAAGTATTTATTTCCCTCAGGGAGAGAGGCGCAAATCATTCCAAATCCCGCTAAAATTAGATTACAGAAGAAGAAGTGCACCTTGGGTAAACCCTCCTCTCTTCGCTTGTTTAACCAACTTAACAGATCTAGTTTTAGGTATGTAGATGGAAGACAAGTGGAGGTGGTGGTCTATCATAATTAGATGGAAACAGGCACTCAAATTAAAAGAAAACAACAGGCGTCCGGACATATCCTCAGATATGCTATGGAAGTAGTCAACCTCCATCT